CACGAAACGAAGATGAATGGCCAGTATGCGAAATATTAAAAATATTTGGCACTGCACGTAAGTGAATTCCAAAGTGACTAGATTATTATTATTATTATACTTGAACATCTGTGTGAAGCATACGAGCTTGTGGTAAAACATTTAGAAAGTAGATGAAATTTTGAAGAAAAATCGTTTTTGACAAATAAGCAATTATTTATTATAATTAGTTATTACAAGATCAGTTATAAATTTCAGAATCGTACAAAACGGGAAAAGAAAAATTGAAGATGGCGGAACAAATATCAGATATCGACAGTGCATCGGGAACTGAGTACGCGGATTGCCTACGAAAGTCAAGGCACAGTTGAGTCGCTAAAGCAGAACATTCATCCGATGAAGAGAACTCAAGGGAAGATTATCCAGACATTCCATTCACGCTGTCTCAGGATACCACACGATCATTCTCGGCCATCGGACAAGATGCCAAAAGCGTGAAAAAATATGTCATTCTTCGGGAGAGCATTCTATCGAGGAAACATAAAGGAACGCAGGAAAAAATCGTCAAAGGAGGAAATACAATCGGAGCGATTCTGAAAGACATACCCGATATGTAAATAATGCTTTATATACTTAGAGCATTCAAGCTTTAGCTTCGCATTCATAATTTTGTAGAAAGTATTTTACATTATCAAGAATACTGATGATTGTTTACATTTTTTATCAGTCTATTCTCGTCGAACAGAAATATCATTTTCATTTTGTATTTCAGCCACTTTTCTCCCGAACCTCACATATTTCCCACAATAGGCCAGCTTTTACTACTAGTTAAGAGTACTTCCTGCAAATTTTATGTTGTTGCTGTTGCTTATAATAGTATCTAATGTTTTCATCTATTCTATGGTTATTATACTAAGGAGGATCTTTAAAAGACTTACAATCAGAAAGGATTCCTTATTCACTCTGACATTGATAATACCAATTTCATATATTCCAAAGAAATATTTGCATTCAAAGATTTGTTCATGTTATTTATAAAGGAATCTTTGAAATGCTGCTATTTATTGTTAATTTTGAAACACTTTTTTACTTTACTCAAAATTGTCGAAATCAATTATTATTCAAGCTACTTGTAAACATTACTCTTTCTCGACCCATTTCCTAGTTACTGTATCAAACCAAAACAAACCTCGAGTCATAGATGAGTCTATCGCTTCACTGCATG